ACTCCTGTTACTAGTAGCAATAGTTTCCTTTTTATTGCTGAGGGTTATTCCATTGTATGAACATACTGAAATTTGAAAACCTATTTTTCTGTTGGTGGTATATGGGTTGTTCTCAGTTTTTAGAAATTAGGATAAAGCTGGTATGACTCTTGTCATTTGATTTCTCTGAGCACTCAGTGTGGTTACTGGCTCCTTCACCCTTAGCCCTTCAACTCTGGGCAAGCGTCTTCATCTCTCTGCCTTTGTTTTCTAACCCATGAAATGGTGGGTTGGGAAACAATTCAGGCTTGGGACCACCATTAAAAATAATAATAAAAAAATAAAATCTTGGAGTGAATTCCATGAAACTACACATTGCCACACCTATAAATACATACAGTTATATGTGTGTGCACATATGTGTACTGGATCACAATATACAATGTATTTGATATTATGAATTGTGGGAAAATCAATTTGTAGAACATTGAGTTGTATGTGTCCTTGTAAGCAAGGAGGTCAAGCACCTGTGAGGTTATTTAGTAAATGCATGTTTCTGCCCTCCGGTGTCTAAAACAGCCATAGTGTTAACAGCCACTTATATGCTGCTTCCTATGGGCCAGCCACGGTTTTAAAAGCTTTACATATAAAATCATGTAGCCCTCACACCCATCCTATGAGGTAGAATTCAGTGGTTGGCAAACCGCGGCTCGCGAGCCACATGTGGCTCTTTGGCCCCTTGAGTGTGCCTCTTCCACAAAATACCGACTTCTGTGCATGGGTCACGAAGTTTCAATCGCACTGTACGTGCACGCCCCCACGTGGTATTTTGTGGAAGAGCCACACTCAAGGGGCCAAAGAGCCGCATGTGGCTCGCGAGCCGCGGTTTGCCAACCACAGAGGTAGATTATTATCTCCATTTTATAGGTGGAGAAGCTGAGACCAGTTATACCACTGGCCCGAGGTCGCACAGCTAGAACGGTGAGGCCACGATTGGAACCTAGGCCATCCGCATCTAGAGTCTGTGCTCTAAACCACTCTTCCAGGGGGAGGTAAAGTCCAAGAGGCAAGTGACATATGTGAGCCAACGCAGATGAATAATTATTCAATTAATACAATGCTCCTCCCTTTTGTTCCAGATATGAGAAATGAGTGTTGGACGTCGAAGAATAAAGTTGTTGGGTATCCTGATGATGGTAAATGTCTTCATTTATTTGATTGTGGAAGTCTCCAAAAACAGTAACCAAGACAAAAATGGAAAGGGGGAAGTAATTATACCCAAAGAGAAGTTCTGGAAGATATCTACCCCTCCCGTGGCATATTGGAACCGGGAACAAGAAAAGCTGAACAGGAGGTACAATCCCATTTTGAGCATGCTGGCAAACCAGACGGGGGAAGCAGCCGGGTTTTCCAACATAAGCCATCTGCATTATTGTGAACCTGACCTGAGGGTCACATCTGTAATCTCAGGTTTCAGCAATTTGCCAGACAGGTTTAAAGACTTTCTGCTGTATTTGAGATGTCGAAATTATTCGCTGCTGATAGATCAACGGGATAAGTGTGCAAAGAAACCCTTCTTACTGCTGGCGATTAAGTCCCTCACTCCACATTTCGCTAGAAGGCAAGCAATTCGGGAATCTTGGGGCAGAGAGACCAGTGTGGGGAACCAAACAGTGGTGCGAGTCTTCTTACTGGGCCAGACACCCCCGGAGGACAACCACCCCGATCTTTCAGATATGCTGAAATTTGAGAGTGAGAAGCACCAAGACATTCTTATGTGGAACTACAGAGACACCTTCTTCAACTTGTCTCTGAAAGAAGTGCTCTTTCTTAGGTGGGTGAGCACTTCCTGCCCAAATGCCGAGTTCATTTTCAAGGGCGATGACGATGTTTTTGTGAATACCCATCATATCCTGAATTACTTGAATAGCTTACCCAAGAACAAAGCCAAAGATTTGTTTATAGGGGATGTGATCCACAACGCTGGACCTCATCGGGATAAGAAACTGAAGTACTACATCCCAGAAGTTGTTTACACTGGCGTCTACCCGCCTTACGCCGGGGGAGGTGGGTTCCTGTACTCCGGCCGCCTGGCTCTGAGGCTGTACAATGTAACTGACCAGGTCCTTCTGTACCCCATTGATGATGTTTATACTGGAATGTGCCTTCAGAAACTCGGCCTCGTTCCAGAGAAACACAAAGGCTTCAAGACATTTGATATAGAAGAGAAAAAAAGAAATAACATTTGTTCCTATATAGATTTGATGTTAGTACATAGCAGAAAACCTCAAGAGATGATTGATATTTGGTCTCGATTGCAAAATGCTCATTTAAATTGCTAAAATGTATACAAACTAAGTTTTGCATAGAAAGTCATATCTTGGGTAGTTCCCAGTTGGGTTCTCTCATTAGGGGTAATTTCTATGTTAAACCATCAAAATTGCCTTCATAAGTAGTAGCTATTTGAGGGCCTCTACACCCTTTGATGTACTTTCTGAAAAAGAAAAGCAGAAGGTCATAATGTTTAAAGGAAGCTACAGCAGGATGATTGGTTCTGGTTCTTCCTACTGGCTAGTGGTCATTATTTTCTAATTTACCCCCCTTCTTGTCTGAAATCATGTTTTTGGAATTTGACTATATTTTAAGTTATTTTTTATTTGACCTAATATTGTAATATTCCAACTTTTTGTTATAATGAGCAAATTGTCCGCAATGTAGGTGTTTAAAATCTATTGGCTACAAATGATTTGTTATATATGATTCAATGATTTTTGTGATGATATTTGAATTACATTTATTTTCGTGGAATTTAGACAAATTTTTAAAAATTATCTAGAGAAATTGACCTCTGTTGAAATTTCCTGCCACCCCAACAGTATTTTCTTGCATTAATATAATCAGTTAATTTTGCAAAACAAAGATCACTGTGTGATCCAGTTTATCTTGCTATGGTCTTATGGTCATAAAGAGATTATGACATAGGAACATAATAACTGTTCTTGTATTTGATTTGCTGGGTGGTATAATAGTTCACTGTTTTTAGTATTTGAAAATAATGAGTATGATTCCATAATGACCAACTAAAGATTGAATTGACCCTGGCAGAAAGATTATGTTTATGATTTTTTTTTTTTTTGATGTGGACCAGGAAAACATATGTAACTTTTGAACTTTAAGGGAAAAGATTGAAGTTATAGACCTTTTCATGACTGGTTTGTCAGTTTAAAACTCCAGGATTCTATTCTTGCCATATTTTCACATGTTGCTTAGACAAAATTATTCTGAGTAGTGAGTGAGCAGCTTCCCTGTCTCCGTGTAGAAGTGCCTGTGTTTTTATTTATTGTTCAGATCAATGACCAAAAATTTTCTTAAATATATTTTGTGTAATATTTTATTTGTATACAGTGTTGTTGATGAAATATTTAACTAGAGCATGATATTTTAAATGTAATGTGTAACATATGTAAAATAAAGTTGTTATTTTTGAATTTTAAAGTTCTTTTTTTTTTTGAGAGATATGAATGCTAGAGTTGAGAAAATTCTGCCAAACTGTTGCTTGTATATACCATCTTGTAACAATGCTTTCTTGAAAAAAATTTTTGTGTTTATAGAGATGAGGCTTCTTACCAGATGTGATACTTGGAACTGTAAGAAGATAGAAATAAAGTCATTGTATTTTTAATTGTCATGTGTAATAATCTATGAACTTTTTTCGTTTTCCATATTTGGTTACATTTTCCCTAACGAGGCCATTGTTCTCTTCAGAAACTATATTATAGTGATATTGAGCGATAACCTTTTCTCTGTATCAATGGGTCATCTATCTTCACATTTAAAATTCTTAAAAGTGCTTTCCCACTTGATTCTGTAAAGAGGAATATGAATATTTATTTATGCTTCCATTTTTAGTAAGTATAAAGAATTTAATTAGGAGATGGAGCAGCATTAAAAAAAACATTGTATTGTCCTAAACCAGGGGTCCTCAAACTTTTTAAACAGGGGGCCAGTTCACTGTCCCTCAGACCGTTGGAGGGCCGGACTATAGTTTAAAAAAAAACTATGAACAAATTCCTATGCACACTGCACATATCTTATTTTGAAGTAAAAAAAACAAAACGGGAACAAATACAATATTTAAAATGAAGAACAAGTAAAGTTAAATCAACAAACTTACCAGTATTTCAATGGGAACTATGGGCCTGCTTTTGGCTAATGAGATGGTCAATGTCCGGTTCCATATTTGTCACTGCTAGTCGTAACAAGTGATGCAAGTGTGCATCAGTTAGTCTAGATCTGGTTGGAGATTTCAGATGTTTCATTCTGGAAAAAGGCTCTCCTAACTTCAAAAAAAAAGGCCCTACTAACTGCAAAATAAAAAAAAAAAATAGACCCCCTAACTTAAAAAAAAAAAATCCTAACTTGTTCTTACCTCAGTCCTCAGGCAGCAGCAGGCTCTGCACAGGCAAGCTCGTGACTCGTCCGATCACACCCGAGACTGAGAGGAGGAGTCGAGAGACAGAGAGAAGGAGGGGAGTCGGAGAGTGTGGTGCACATTCCACACATGCGCACTGCGGCCCGGGACGAGTCGGCTGCTAAGCAACAGGCAGCAGCGGCAAAAACACCCGGCGGGCCGGATAAATGTTTTCGGCAGGCCGCATGTGGCCCGCGGGCCGTAGTTTGAGGACCCCTGTCCTAAACCATGTTCACTTTGGGGTTTGTACCCACAGTGATGCAATGTAGAGGCAGCCTTTACCACTTAAGTTTCGTACTAGACTCATGTTGAGAAGAAATTGCTAATGGTCAATTAAGAACAATAGAGCCCTGGCCAGTTTGGCTCAGTGGATAGAGTGTCAGCCTGCTGACTGAAGAGTACCGGGTTTGATTCTGCTCAAGGGTGTGTACCTCAGTTGCAGGCTCCTCCCTGGCCTGGGCCCTGGTCGGGGCACATGCAGAGGCAACCAATCGATGTTTCTCTCACATCGATATTTCCCTCTGTCTTTCCCTCTCTGTTTCATTCCCTCTAAAAATCAATGGAAAAATATCCGGGGGTGAGGATTAAAAAAAAAAAAAGAAGAAGAAGTACGCATTTGATGAAGCTCAGAAAACAGAAGGGATCAGTGTTGTGAGGACATTTAGCAGACTATCTTCTCCTACTTGGGAATGTGGAGGCCATATGTGAGCAGTTATGAGGACATAGATACTTAATGTGGGTTTGAAGACTGTTTGTAAGCTTGGTCCTTCTAAGGGTTTCATGTGACTGCATCTGACCTTTCTACTGCAGTGGTTGCTAGCACGCCTCCTAGAGAGCAGCATTGCCACATTAGTTTAGAGAAGAGTAATCAAGCTCTCAAAATATTCACTGGTCATTGGTCCATAATTTGCATGTGTCTGTATAACTTGACCACACATTTTCAAGTAATGCATTTTTCCTCTGAGGGGAATTTCTTTAATTTTTCTTCTAGGGAATTTTCCTTCACTGGTATTTCAAGTCTGCAGAAAAAGAAGAGATGTAGCAGCTTTAGAAATATGTTTCGAGGGCTCCTGAGGGTCTTCTGTGAGCCTCCAGTAGAAGTCCTTGGTGTTGGTGATGTTTGATGGGTGAGATGATCTCTGGCTCTTCTTTATTTGGCAGAAGTTCTTGTGTAGTGGTTACCTGAGCCCACAACACTGGTCATCAGTCTCATGGGCTTTTCAGCAAAGGGATACTTAGGTTTTAGAGCTCTACACGTGCTTTGGTTCAATCAAGGTAGTGATTGGTTCTTAAATCAATGAAGCCTTCTCTTGGTGCTCCTGAGATGGACTCTCCCCTGAGCCTCCATCTCGTGAATGTCAGCATCTAGTTAATTCATTCTCTCAGAACTGCTCAATTCTGTGGCCTCAGTGAAACTGGCACTTGGATTTTTTTGTGTGTGTGGCTACTCCCACATCATTTTGATTTTGAGTTTGAAAGTCAAAAGGCTGAATAAACATTGACAGGGTTTGGACTTTTCATAAACCCAACCAGGCCTTAAGAGGAAAAGATGAAAGAGACCCATATGGCTCATTTCCATCCCTGACTCTGCTTGTACCCATCTCTGTTCTTAAGTTAGATGAGGGAGAATGGAAAAGAAGGGCAAGAAGTTGGGAGAATACTTGGAGTCAGACTTGAAAATTAAATCCAGAATTAAAGGCACTCAAAGTGTGACCATCTCCTACTTTAATACCCCTGATTGATAAAGGTCTGGAATCTTAGATGTTCTAGGTTGTCATGGCCCCCTCATGCAGAAAGTAAGAATTCATTTCTTAAAGCAAAGGGTTTTACTTAGGCCAAAAGTTAACTTCTCTGTGATTTACCTTTTTTTTTCTTTTCTTTTTTTTTTTAAGAGTGCAAGTTTTTTTTTTTTAAATTAAATCTTTATTGTTCAGATTATTACATTGGTTCCTCTTTTTTCCCACCATAACTCCCCTCCACCCAGTTCCCACCCCACCCTCCGCCCTCACTCCCCACCCACTG